GTTGGCGGAAGAGAAGAAAGCTCCTTTTTTGTACATTCGTTCTCTGGTTGGCCTTCTCCCTGTACTCAGTTTCCCACAGAGCTTGCTTCTTACTTTCTTTTTCTTCTTCCCCACTCTTGGCTTTTCAGATAGGTCACCTGTAAGGAAGGCCTGTTTCCCCAGCCCCTCCCAATTTTAACTCTGTCTGTCTTCTGATTCTTTGCTGAGTTCCTGCGTGCTCTGTGCGGGAATCCACACATGTGATCCCTGCCGGCATGTTCCCATGGTGAGCTGTTACAGTGGACTCAGTGCTTTTTAAAATTGTCATAAAATTCACATAACATAAAATTTCCATCTTAACCATTTTAAGTAAACAGTTCAGTGGCATTAAGTACCTTCACATTGTTGTCTCACCATCACCATCTTCCCAAACTAAAGCTCTGTCCCCTTTAAACACCCACTCCATATCCCCTCCCCCACCCTCTACTTCCGGTCTCTGACTCTGGCTACCGTAGGGGCCTCATGTAAGTGGGACCATACAGAATTTGTTCTTTCAGGACTGGCTTATTTCACTCAGCAATAATGTCCTCAAAGTTCGTTCATGTGACAGGATTTTCTCCTTTTTTTAAAAAAAAACAAAACATTTTTATTGAGTTTTAGAGAAAAAGGAAGGAAGTGGTAGAGAGAGATGGAAACATCAATGAGAAACATCATTGATAAGCTGCCTCCTGCACTCCCTGCCAATCAACCTGGGTCTGTGTCCTGACCAGGATTCAAACCCAAGACCTGGGTCAACTTGGTTCCTGGGTTAACACTCAACTGCTGAGCCACACCAACCAAACAGGATTTTCTCCTTTTTAAAGCTGAATAATATTCCATTGTATGTATGGACCATACTTTATCTATTCATCTGTTGCTGGTCACCTGGATTGCTCTTATCTTTTGACTATTGTGAATGATTCTGCTATGAACATGTGTGTGTGAATATCTATTTTAGGCACTGCTTGCAGTTCTTTGGAGATATATATCTACAAGTGGAATCGCTAGGTCATATGATAACTCTGTGTTTAACTTGTTCACAGCAGACTCTTCACACAGCAAATGCACCGTTTCCATTCCCACCAGCAGTGCACAGGGGTCCACTTTCTCCATGTCCTCTCTCTTTGTGCTGGTAGCTTCCTGGTGGGCACGAGGCTGCCCTCGGGGTTCGTCGAGTGGGAATTAACCTTGTCAGGGACAGTAGTGTGGTTTATCGGTTTCAGGCTGACATCGTCTGACTCCACTGCTCACCTGTTGGATGCCAATTCTTTTTTTTTAAACCTGACTTAGCATCCCATTTTCTTGTGGATTCAGGGGACATATTAACAGGTCCCCCACATCCAGCACAGAGCAGGCACCTCAAGGAGGGGAAGGGAGGGACACAGCATCTCTAGGCCAGAGCCAGGGACCGTGGCTGAAACGGACCAGGAGGACCAAAAACAGGTGATGGGCGGGAAACTTGGCTGAGGCCTACATGGGCTAAGGAAAGTTTGCAACATGCGTGACACTGACCGCCAGAGAGCGGAGCGGAAGAAATGGGGGTTGACCAGGCCTTGACCGTTAAATAGGAGTTTTTACCGCCTGTGGTGTTTTTTGTTTTTTCAGTTTGTCATTATCTTGGTTTTGGTTTTCCTTGTTCAAAGCAGGCGGAGGAAGATTGAGGGCAACATGTTCAAACAGAGTTCTGTTTACATCACTCTCTGGTTCCTGCCTCCGTAACAGGCAGGCACGTGGCTTCCTGGGGATTTGGCTGCTCGGGGGGTGGCAGGAATCAGGGGGTGTTAGAAGTGGTGGATCTCACCCTGAGAGCCTGGCAGGATGAGCGGAAAATGATTCTCAGCTGAACCAGAACTTCCGAGCAAGGCTTTCTCCGAAGGGTTAGGGGAATTGTGCACAGAATACAGAGTAGTTTTTACAGTGTGTGTTTTTTAACTTGTGGTTGATGTAGGGGAACAAAAGGCAGAAGATAAAGATCACCCATATGACACCACTCAGAGATAGCCCACTCTTGGTATTTCCTTCATGATCATTGTTAAACAGCTTTATTGAGGTATTTGACATGGAAAAACTGAATATATTAGCGTGTACAATCTGGGGGGGGTCTGACACACATGTACACATGTGTGGATTCAAGACGGCGCGAATCTATATCCACCACCTTTGAAAGTGTCCTTCGAACTTTGTCACCTTCCCTTCCTTCCCTGTCCCCAGCACCCCCCCCCCTTGTCCCTGCTGGACTCCAGGGGCCCGAATGTTCTGTGAGTTGCTGAGGATGGCTCACACTGAAACCTCACAGGGATGGGCCGCTCATTTTTAGGCAGGATCCCTAAACTGAATCCTCTGGAAAGCAGCCCTGTAAGTTCACGGGCGGGGTGGGGGATGTGAAGAGAAGTGGGGGCAGCTGTCTCACTTCTCCCAATAAAGAAACTGTGGCCAAGTGGGGAACAGGCCTGCAGGAGCCTGTGTGGCCTCCGCTGCAGCCTGGAAGGTCAGGGGTGTGTGGGTCCCTGCAGGCACCTGGGCTGCTCCCCACCCCAGTTCACAGGCACCAAAGAGGAGGCCCTATTTTTAGCCCCCAGACTGGTCACTCTGACCAGCGGGCCTCCCAGTGGAGAGCCCTTCCCCCAGCTCCTCCCACACTGTCCCCAGGATCCCCCAGTCTAGGAGGAGGACGATGGGAGTTCTATGCTTCTCTCTGCAAACGTGGAGTCAGCCTCAGTGGGACGGCCCTCCTGCCACCTGTGCAGACAGACGGGGCGGCTTAAAGGGAGGGTCCGCTCGGTTCGCACTGCTGGGCCCGCACCTCTCCTTAGAAACCCCGATGTCCCAGGTCTCCATGCAGCTGTCCTTCAGCCTGGAGCCCCGTGGACCTGGGGGAGCCAGCAGTCCTGCCTATCACTGTGCTAAGGGATCCCCCTGCCTTCCTCCGCCCACATCCTCATCTCAGGGGCGGTTTCCTGCTGTGGACAGAGGGGCCTGTCTCTGAATTCCCGATGGTGCATGTGCCCGACAGCTCCTGTCCTGACTCCCGGAATGAGTGCGTCTGCTCACAGCCTTCGAAGCCATGATGAAGGAAGCAATGTGCAGTCTCACAGGAATGGAATCCAAACAGTTGGCTTTAAAACTCTGGGCAATTTTATTCACCTTTAACCTGTAGTACTGTCTCTCTTTCGGGCGGAAGAAGCTGCATCAGGCTGGTTAAGGGAAGTGAGCTGCTCTGCACCTAAACCACTATGGTTTCAGGCTCCCCAGCCGTCAGCCAGTCTCACCCACAGCAAGGCCATTCTGGCTCGCCCAAGGCAGGGAGGGAAGTGGGGTCTCCATCCCCAGAGAGCAGGGCCCACCCTGGGGAGACAGAGGTGAGAGATAAAGTATTCAGGGGAACCAGCTCAGAGCCCTGCCAAGGTCAAGGCCAGGGACTGGGGAGGGGCGGGTCCTGCTCTAGGGTGAGCACTGAGGCTGCCAGACAGGGCAGGCCCGTGGGGTAGGGGCAGGGCTGTGCTCTGTGGCCCAGAGGTCGCAGGGAGAAATTGACCAGAATGCACTGGGAGGGACTGGGGACAGGTGGAGGGGACAGGAGCACTCCTGGCCCTCAACACCAGCACTCCCTGATGGTGACCAGTAGAGGTGCCCCGCCCTACCCTGGCGGCTGGCTCTGCCCTTCTAGCAACTTGGGAGCCACAAGCATCCTTGTGACGGGTCTTTTCCAATGTCGCGTCAGCCGAATGGTTGTTCCGTGCTGCACAGAGCCCTGGCTGAGATGTGTGGTCACCTTCATTCTCCCTAAAACCAGCCCTTCCAGACAAGGGGGCCCTCTGAGCTCCAGGCCTCTGTGGGTCAGTCGCAGGCACTGCCTCACGCCCACACAGAATAAGTTGGGTGTTGCCATCTTGTTCTTTTGACGCATATTAACATGCAGAGCTGCTGGGAGGACGTATGTCTATCAGAAATGAGTGGGAGGTGACAGGCTAGCACAAAAGGGCCTCAGAAAATAAGGAAATGTTCTACCACCCAAATGAGGCGCTGAGGAAGTGGGCTGGGCTGGGAGACCTGGGAGGGGGAGGGAGAGGAGATGGAGGAGGAGGAAGGAGGGGGGAGGAAGGGCAGGGAAAGGGGGAGACAGGATGGGTCCCGGGGCAGTGAGGGGGTGGGAACCCTCAGAGAGGCTGTCCTCGGATGAGGCTTCCTGAGGCTTCCTGAATTCAGTGTCTGAGCCTCTGAGCTGCCCAGGAGGCCTGTGGGCTTCCTTAGGGAGAGGACCAGCACAGCCTGGGGGCAGCAGGTGAGCCAGCAGCCTCACCCCAGAGGAATCACCCCAGAGAGGGGACAAACAGCCCTTGGGCCTGAGGAGGAAGAGAAGACCTAGGGTGGGCCGGGGGTCCCTGGCCGGCCTGCCCTGCCTCCACCCAAGCAGCCTCCAGTGGATTCAGTCAGCAGTGCGCTGCCTGACCAACAGTTCCCATTTCTGATCGCGTGTCCATCAAGGCAGGAGGGTAGGACACATCCTGCCACAGTTGACAGCTTATTTATAACTGGTAAAAATCAGACACAGCACCCTGTCCTGCTGTGTCCCCACCACCACCACCACCACAGGCAATTCCTCCTCCTCCTCACTCAATGGACAGGCCTGTTGGCATCGTGGCATCATGGGTGAGCAGTCTGGGTCTAGCCCCAGGAATCATTCTCGCTGCCTGGGTTTCCACATCTGTGAAGTGGAGGCATTGGGAACATGTCAGGAGCTGAGTGAGAGTGAAATAGCACATGCGTGCCAGACCCTGTGCCCTGTACCCCTGCACTTCGCACTCTCGGGACAAGTGAGACCCCATGGCAGCCCCCCAGGTGCCCCTGGGATGGGAGCCCTAGATAGCTGTGTATGTGTCAGATGGAAGAGCCCGGGCCTGCAGGGAAGGCGGGTGGAAGTACAGGGGAGGGCGGCAGGGACGAGGCCGGAGGGTGATGGTCCCCACACTCTGTCCTTGCAGTGCATCACCTCTTTGTGGCCACCGCCTGCCAAGACGTTGATCACGATGCCATCCTGCAGGAGGCCTGCCTCGCCCAGTTCCAGATGGACATGGAGGCCATCGGTAGGACGCTGTGGTGTGACTGGGGCAAGACCATCGAGTGAGTCGAGTGTGTGTACTGGCGGGAGGGACATGGCTGGGGTGCCTTGGGACCACAGGGCTTGGTGAGGGTTCTTCACCACAGTCCAGGGTGACAGACAGGCTGTGGTTATGGATGAGGGACAGATGTGGGGGGAGGAGGGGCCAGTGACAGGTAAGTGCAGAGAACAAGGGCCAAGAGGTCTGTGGTGAGCTGGGATCCTGCACAGGCGTCCTCCAGGCAGCAGGAGACAGAGCGTCCCGTTAGGGCCGTGTCCAGCTGCAGATTCCCGTAGCCCATCCAGGTGCAGCTGTCTGGGGACCATGGAGAGCTCGGCCCCGTGCCCAGGGGCCTTGTGACCGAGTTTGGCAGGCGCCAGGTTGCAGGGATGTCCCTACTGGTTCCGCTGGTCCCCATGGTCAGTCCAAGGCTGTCCTTCTGCCAGTTCATGGCTAGGAGCCCCCTGGATCACAGGGAGGCTGTCCTTGGAGGGGTGGCCCTGGCACCCACAGAGGACAGCAGGCACCGAGCCTTCCCTTTCGTGGCTCAGTCCTTCTACCCAAATGCCACTCTTCCCACCCCGTGGGGTGCATCCACTGCCCCCTTTCCCGCTCAAACAGGTCAGGGCTTCTCCGCTCCTGAGCCAGAGTCTCTGGAGCCTGAGCAGGACTGGATATGAAGAGTCAGGAGCCCTGGGGATGGTGGGGTTCCCTCATTCTTGTCCTTCAAGGCCTCATTTTCTAAACTGAGAAATTAACCACGGGTGAGAAATTGGGGGCAGGCCAGGGAGTGAAAAATCAGAGCCACTTGCTCTTTAGGCAGATTGGCCTGTGCCTGGGCTGAGTGACTTGTTTAGTTTAAGTCAAAGGTTGTCTAACACTGTGATCCACAGAAGAGGCGGTCCAATTTGCAGTCCAACATGTTGCCGCAGGAAGGCTGTACCAGCAGCGGGGCCGGGGGGTAGGGTGGGGTACTGGTTCCCACAGCCTCACTGAGACTGGGTTCTCATACTTCTGAACTTTCACTGTCTGATGAAGGAGAAATGGTCTCTCAGTGGTGCGTTCATTTGCATCTCTCTGATTTATGAGTGGGTCTGAGCATCTTCCATACGCTAAGGGTCACACATATGTTTTTGAGACTTTGGCCCTTTTTAAAGAGTTCGTGTTGGAGGAGGCTTCTGGCCTTTGGCTGCAGCATGTGTTACATATTTTCTCCCCGTTAGTCAGTTGTTTTTCAACTCTTAGGTATTTCCGTTGCCACATTATTTTGTTCACCCATCCTGTGCCTCAATCTCCCGTCACCTCTGGATTGGAGTCATAGTTGAAAGGCCTTTCTCTACACTCAGGTCCAAGAGGAAGCCACCCACATTTTGTTCTCGAGCTTGTGCAGTTTTAGTGTCCCAGCTGAGTCCTGGGCCTGCCGGGAGCTTATTCTGCGGTGCAGTGGGAACTCTGAGGCAGTCGGTCTTTCCTCAGAGGCCCCGCCCACTTGTCCTGTTTATTCAAAAGCCCATCATGCCCCGTTTTTTGTTTCCGAGTCCATCTTTGTTCTGCACTGCACTTCCCTGAGCGCCTTTACACACAGTCCCTTTCAGACTTCCTCATGTTCCCTGCTTCTGCAACGTGGCTTTCTCCTCTGGAACCAGCAATGGGTCTGCACCGCCTAATCGGTTTACTTAGTTAACGCTCACCTCATTCCATGACAGTCAGTGAGTTCGCAAAGCTGGCATTTACTGAGCACGTATTATGTGTGGGGGATAAGCTCTGGACATACGTTACCTCCTTTTAAGTACGAGGCAACCTCAGGAGGAGTCAGAACTATCGTCATCCCCACTTCATCTGCCCAGGGCCACAGCGGGTTAGGGGTCTTTGAATCCGAAATCCCAGCTGCGACACTCCCCAAAGGTGAGAGGTGGTTCCCCTGACTCTCCAGAGGCATGGGGATGCCCTGTCTTTAATCAGTGTGGCTCTCTGCGAAGTGGATGCTGCCTGAGCCCCTGCCAAGGACCACCAGCTGGTGAGGTCCACTTGCCTTGGGATACAAAGCCTGCCTGGCACTCGAGCCCTGGGCTAACTGGGGGGAGGAGGGATAGGATGGTCCAACTGACTGGAAGGAAGAGGAAGAGGCCCGAAAGGAGGCCCAGCGGGGGGTGGAGGAGCCATGTGAATGGGCAGGAGGGCGTGACCATGTTAGGAGCACAGTGTCCAACAGGGAAGCAGGGCCCCTAAGTGTGGGACGGACAGGCAGAGAGCCAGACAGTGGGGCTGGAGGACTGTGAGGCAGGCAGATACCGGACAAAAGGCGCAGGTGCTAGGAAAGACTGCCAAAGCCAAGTGGAGGTAAGGCTGTTGGGGGTGGAAGGCCGCAGCCCAGCGAGCAGACATGGACAGCTGTTAGGACCTGGGGTTCAGGACAGGCTGAGGGTGAGGGCAGGACCTCCAAAACCAGGGCCACCCAGTGCCTGCTGCCTGAGGTCGTAGCTGTCCCAGGGCTGGGCTGGGCTGCAGTGGCCCGGGAAATGCCAGGGGGAAGCTTCTGGTTTGACAACAGCTGCCCGTCAGAGGAGACTCACCTTCCCACTAAGTGGCACGGATGAATGTGAGCCAGGTGGCTTCTGCAGGGGCATGGGGAGGGGAGAAGCTCCCCTGAGGGGCGTGGAGGGCTGCTGGGGCCACACGGTTCTACCTCCTACGTCAAACCGGACAGAAGGGGCCCGTGACAGCCCCACCTCACTCGGGACAGGGCACAGAAGTGTGGGCTTATTCCGTTCTCCTGAGCAGCACTGGGCATCGCTGCTCAGAGATAGAAATATCTCCAGTGAAAGCAAAGGCTGGTGAGAGCACTCGGGCTGTGTTCCGACACGAGGACAGTGGACACTCCTGAGTGACCTGCCATGGGACGGAGGGCCGGCTTGCTTTTGCATTGGGAGGTTTGTCATCGTCATGGCCTACCCAGCGACAGGGGTCCAGCGTGGTTCCTTGTTGAAACCAGTGCCAGGCTCTCCCGCAGCCCTGGACGGGGGCCCTGGTCATGAGCCTGGCTCCAGGTCTCCTCTGGAGCCCTTTTCTATCTGCCCTTCCCTGCCCAGGTCCCTGCACCAGGTCCCTGCAGGCAAGGGTGCAGCAGGGCGGCCCCCTCTGTGCACCAGGCGAGTCATCGTGTCCGGTGAGCTCATTCGCTGCAGCCCGGGTTTGCTGATGGAAACTTAACGTAATTGAAGGTATTAACTGGGCATACAATCTAATTTGGGGAGCTGTGGAGGTTAAGGAACATTGTGTCATCCAGACTCTCATTTCCAGAAGCCTCCCTGTGGGTGTCAGGAGGAGAGAAAGAGCAGAACAAGGAAAGAGAAGAATAAAAAAAAAAAAACACGGGAACTCAGCTGGAAGATGGTTGTTTTTAAAGTGACCACATACCAGGGTTTTCTCCCCAAGACAGGAAATGCGGGGTGGTTTAGAGATGGGAGGCCCAGCAGCTCCTCCTCTTCCTGCCCAGCTGCGGGCTTCGAGGCACCACCTCGGGCAGGAACCCTGTCAGAGGCAGCCCAGCCATCAGAGCTCAGTGAGCCCCAGAGAACCCACCTCTACCTTCGCGCCTTCCCGGTGCCCCTCTTCTCTCGGCCCTGAAGCTCCCCGGCTTGTCAATGCTGCGGCGTGGCCTCGCTCCTGAAGCTTTGGTCACACTGCAGGGTTCCCGGGCCCAGGTCTCCACGGCCTCTCCCTGGGCACCGCCTCCACCCTGCTCACCCCAAGCTGGGCCATGCAGAGCCCTCTCTCCTGGCCCGTGCAACGGCCAGTGATGACGCAGCACAGGGAGCTTATGGAAGGACCCAGAACCAAAGTGCAGCGTGCTGGCTCCAGAGCAGCTACCTCTGCCATGGGCCCCAAGCCTGACACCATTTCCAACCACCTGATCACTGAGGCGGGGTCTCGGTGTTCTTTGTGTCCCTTTCAGGAGTCAAGCCCGGAAACTGGTCGTAACTAGGCAGCTTCTTTGCAACAGCTGCTTTTGTTTGAATTCCGACAGGAACTGAGAGAGATGCATCTTCTTCAGCCACGGTGGTCTCCCTGGGGCAGTGGCTGTCACCCTCCCCGGGTCTCAGCATGGGCCAGGACCAGTGCACAGCAGTGTCAGAATGTAAAAGGTCAGAAGCCAGCGACACTAAGCAGATCCTGGCACGAGTAGAAGGAAGAGCAGGCAGGTGGACCACATCCTGGTGACGGGGACGGTTTGGGGGAGGCTCTGCACAGCGCCTTCTGCTCCCAGCTGCCTCGTGGACACACTGCTTCCACCCTGCCCCCAGCAGCATGGAAACCCCAGAGCTGTCCAGGCTACGCACACGGGACTTCACTGTCCAGGGAGGCAGGTCAGGGTGCTCACTTGTCAAAGTTTGCCCTCCTGGGACTATCACAGGGAAAGGGCAAGGCAGCGGGTGGTGGCACAGAAGGCAGTGGTGATGAAGGTGTGCTCTGGTGTGCAGCGTCTCTGTGTTGTGTGGTGGGGTCAGCCAGGTAGGGGACGAGAGCAGATGCCCCTCCTAAGGCTGACCTTCGGCCCAGCACTCCTCCTGCCCAATAAAGCCATTACAGCATCTCCCAGGACCCTTCCTTCCATTGGTGACCCTCTCCCAAGCACCCAGGCCCCGGGACACTCTCGTCCTCTGTAGGGGAGCCTTCCCCATGCAAACTGTGGGCACTTTCCCCTCAGGGTCTTATGAGACTTAAGCCTAGACATTGTGCACAGCTCCTGGACCAGGTGTGTCTTAGGTCTGAGCTCCCTCTTCTCCAGGCTTCTTGTCTCAGTGAAAACATGGAGAACACACACCTTCTTACAAATACACTCCTATGGGTAGCAAGGGAGGGTGAGTTTGCGTTCACAGCCAAGCCAGGAGGAGACAGCCAGCTCTCCAGCAGGAAGGCCATGGAAGGGGCCCTGATTTCTCAGTGCTACTCACGTTCAACCCCTCCCAGGTTTTGCCATTGCAAATGAACTGCAGTGCATGTAGCTGACTGCTGTTTTGG